AAGCAGAGAGGGCGACGAGCCCGTGCTCTCGTGGCGTCGTCCACGTGGAGCTGTCCGTGCCGCTGTGTTGCACGCCGGCTGTTGCTGCCATTGTAATGATTCACCAGCCGCCAGTCAATGAATTACCAGGATTCAGGGTCACGCTTTGACTCGAGAAGGGATCATCGGTGTTTGTCGTGCCATTGCGCACGCAGAACCTCGTGGCCGCTCAGTGGTCCCGTCGTACACAAATCACATTCGCAACATATACGAATCGGACGTAATCGAGTTTTACAGCCGGTGACGCATTGCGCGCAACATTCAAAGTTGAAACTATTTGAATAATAATCGACTCACGATGCCTCGCTCCGTGCCGCGTGAACTATCTTGCGCACGTGATGGCCAAACCAATCTAATCTTCTCCTGTCCGTGGAACATCAAGATGATAGGAATCCTATCTGTCACGACTCCTTTTACGGGCGGTATTACGTCGCGGTATTCAACGTGAATTGCATCCGCGGGGCTCGGTTTTGCGCGGCCTTTTCTGCACGCAGCTGGCTCAGACCAGAGGCCGCACGTTGAGGCCTGCTGCGGCGAGGATCGCTTTACACGACGTCGCAGTCGCCCAGCACCCTAGAAAACATGAACGCGGCGCACCATCTGTGCACTGTGCCCCAGTGAGGAGGCCGCACAGAGCTGACGTAATTTGTGCGGTCTCCGCACTTATGCAATCGTGGCCGAGTGTTCTGGTGACCATGAAAGATAAGCTCTCGTCATGACCCCTCGTGTCCCTCGTCTGCTGCGTGTAAACACACCGATTTGACTGCTCTCTCCCTCTCTGAAGGAGATCGATGTTCAGTAAACCAGGAGACTTGATGGCGGTAATTGTGATTATTTCGTGTTGAGAATGATGAGAAATGTGGCCTTCAAAGACCCAAGATGCAGCCCCAAGTTTCCCTTGTGGCTGTGTATGGCAGATTGCACGGTCTTGCATCAAGTTCAAGTTGAACCAGGTGATAACTCAAGAGACCAGGATAAAGGAGTCTCATTTGCAAGAGTGACTTGGGTCACCGACATAACGAAAATACGAATTGTGAACCAGCTGGACTGAACTCATCTCCGAGTTGCAAAATAGATCAACAGACGTGTCTCCTTCATACAGCTGCCTCTCCACATAATATACTCAGCCAGTGGTCTCTGAGTAGAAGTGCCTGGGCAGTGTCATATCAACGCGGAGGCCCATTCCCATGGCCACAAGGAGCCAGGATCAACTGGCCCAGTTCCGGCCCAGAAACAGCACCGACGCCGGCAGGTGGTCCCATGGCCAGCGACCCTCCGGGGCCTCCCCTCTCGTACATCTCCCCATCAGCTCTCCTCCGCATCCTCTCACACATGGGGGTGGAGGTAAGGGAAGCAATCGTTTTGTTTTCAACAAACTTACATTTGGACACGAGTCAGGGTTTTTTTTACTGTTTTGACCAAAAAAACATTTTTGTATTTTTCCACAAACAACGCAAACATAGCGCAGGGAAGTGGAAAACACACACGGGGCGCTGGGACACGCGTGTCACACACGGGGCGCTGGGACACGCGTGTCCCACACGGGGCCCTGGGGCACGCGTGTCACACACGGGGCGCTGGGGCACGCGTGTCACACACGGGGCCCTGGGACACGCGTGTCACACACGGGGCCCTGGGGCACGCGTGTCCCACACGGGGCGCTGGGGCACGCGTGTCACACACGGGGCCCTGGGACACGCGTGTCACACACGGGGCCCTGGGACACGCGTGTCACACACGGGGCCCTGGGACACGCGTGTCACACACGGGGCCCTGGGGCACGCGTGTCCCACACGGGGCGCTGGGACACGCGTGTCACACACGGGGCCCTGGGGCACGCGTGTCACACACGGGGCCCTGGGGCACGCGTGTCACACACGGGGCCCTGGGGCACGCGTGTCTCACACGGGGCCCTGGGGCACGCGTGTCACACACGGGGCCCTGGGGCACGCGTGTCACACACGGGGCCCTGGGACACGCGTGTCACACACGGGGCCCTGGGACACGCGTGTCACACACGGGGCCCTGGGGCACGCGTGTCACACACGGGGCCCTGGGACACGCGTGTCACACACGGGGCCCTGGGACACGCGTGTCACACACGGGGCCCTGGGGCACGCGTGTCTCACACGGGGCCCTGGGACACGCGTGTCACACACGGGGCCCTGGGACACGCGTGTCTCACACGGGGCCCTGGGGCACGCGTGTCTCACACGGGGCGCTGGGACACGCGTGTCTCACACGGGGCCCTGGGACACGCGTGTCACACACGGGGCCCTGGGGCACGCGTGTCACACACGGGGCCCTGGGACACGCGTGTCTCACACGGGGCGCTGGGACACGCGTGTCTCATATCCGCGACAGCTGTTCTTGGCAGCTGCTCGGCTCCAGTGATATCCACCATCTGGTTGTGTTTTACTCTGATCTCTATTTGCTCGTTTTCCCCTCTGATTTGCTGTTTGCTTCATCGCTGTACTTTGTTTTTTGATGTTGTTGCTTTCGTCATTTTGGTGACCCGGGTCACTCGTAGAGTTAAACTTATCCTGGCCTCGTGAGTCATCATCTGCTTCAACAAAATCAACTTGAAACTCAACTTCCTTTCATGCCGTGTGCACGATATGTTTTTACACTTTTCAGTTGTGTATTTGTCTAATGCGTCAGACGCGTAGTTTGGCAACACATCAGATAGATGTGTATATGTTTTAAAGGCGATGCACGAGCCATCAACATCTGACACACAGCCTTGGGGGTGAATGTCGGGCTTCCGTTGTTGTCCAACAAGTCGCAACAGGAAGCAACTGGTGTTGTCATCATTACCTGTCTGGCAAGTTTAGGACTTGAGTTGCTTTCTTTATGGAGAACCTGTGGTGTTAACCTGTCGAGTTTTCCATTAAGTTACCCTGGCATTCACGTTTCAGCTCATGACGATGACGATGATGATGGATTCAAGTTTCATTCATGGTGACGAGGCGAGAGAGAAAACCGCATTGCTTTCATGTCGGAAGCCGGCCGATAAGCACGACAAACACAACTACTCCCGTCCGCTCCGCGGTCTCGCGTTAACATTATTGGCACCCACCGTGCACACGTCTTAAACTGCAGCTTGTTATGGATTCTTGAAATAACTGTTCCCACGCTTAACCCTGTGACCGCTCGTACATTTCACGCCGAATTCCTCATCGCCCCTCTTCCAACGTGAACCTCTCAACACGAACGACGTTGGCCAGAGCTCTGCAAGCCGCCACATGCCGCCTGCTGTCGTCATCGCCGTCAACGCTCGCGTCTCGGTTGCAGCCGCTCCACCCGTGTTGAGACGTGCCCACGCGCATTGCAGTTGGCGCCACATCGCTTGCAGCTTCACTCTCTGCTACATTTGAATTGCCTTGACCACTTGAGCATATTGGCACGAGACGGAGTAAAGTGGAAACAAATGACGACATGCGCAGTGGTGGACACCCTAGGGGCGATCTGCCCATGGATCGTGATGATGATGACTACCTAACAAGACTCAAATTAATATCCCAACTGTTCTTCAAATGTGCAGTTGTGCAAGGGTGCTGCCATCTTTTCTCATGTCAGGCATTTTCCGTGTAATAAATGGAAGAATGTGAAAAACATTGGTCCACAAGTACCTGGGTCATTCCCATTTAATGTATTTTTTTAAACCAAAATAGCACCAATAGGTGAATTTGGTACACATGTACAGTATATCACATTTTACATTTATAAAAATGTTGTGTAAAGAGTTCGATAAAAAAAAATTGGTTGGAGGTTGACTCAGCCCATCATTTTCTAGTATCGATTAAAATATCTACCACTTTGTGGGGAGGGCAACAGTGGATGACGTATGGATAGGCTCACCTCCACCATAGGAATGTGGAATTTCCACCACTGGCTCTGCAAGGAGCAGAGCTGTGCCTTGATCCTGAGCTCTCGTTTTCTGCTGCTACTGCTGGTGGTGCATTCTGGGAGTTCGGGGACTCTCTTCACTTTGCTGTATTGCATCGCAGGAATTCGGTTTTTTGCCGTCACCTTATCTCACCCGCACATGTTGACTGATAAGATGAGCAGCATCTGTCTCCCTGGGCTTGGGCAACTGCGCTCAAGCGTGGACTGCCCATCGTGGCGGATCGTAGCCACCGTTTGTGTAAGAGTTGTTGCTGCCTGGCCACGTTGCACGCCACGTGGCGTGTCTACACGTGTCAACACGCGACCAGCGCTGTTATATCATTCACATGACGTCGCATGAATGCGTTTTGTGATTCATACAAGAGATACATGGATCATTTTTGTCACGAATCAATTTTGTAATGAATGCGTTTGTATGCATCATCTGCCGAGCGTTGAAGTTGTCGTCAAACACGTCGCAATATTTGCTCATCGGCGTACGCGGTGTTACCTGACGTGCTTCAAGGTACATGGTGCGTGCCACGCAGTGGCACCGCAGTGGTGTCAGGCAGCGAGGGTGGTGGTGGTGTGCATTGTAAGTGCACCGGGTTTATTTAATCGGGGAGCATTCAGTCGGGGGAGCAGCAGAGTAAACTGGCAGTTTGCCGGTGAAATTTGACATTCCACCTTTGTCTGCAGTCAGCAGAAGGTTGTGAAATCCCGCACAGTTCGTGTGACGCGCGTTCTGTTCTCGTTGCCTCTCGGCTGGTCGCCGGTGGGGCGGTTCTGGCCAGGGCCCTCTGTTGGCACTGCGCCTGCGTGTGGCACGAAGCCCGAGAATGGCCGAGTTATTAAACTCATGAATATGGCCTAAGACGTCCGTCGTTGTGCTGTATAATGTTTCGACTAAATCGTGAGCTAACTCATCTCCTCGTGAGTATTTGTCCCAACACTAGCCACGACTGTGGTGCAGTGCATTTATTTTGTTTATTCAGTGTCCATTTAAAACGTACACTTTCATTCCTTTGCAATTCACCGCTGTTGCCTGCGTCTTTGTTTTGACCTCTCACCAGTGTCGCGGCGACTGGAGGATGCCTGTGAATGTCGGTACGGCGGTGTGCTACGACCAGCGCGCTCTTCCACCTTTGTCTCTCCCATGGTGATTTTCACACCCAACCTTCATCGATGTTCACTGACCGCACTTTGTCCCTTCAGCCCAGGGGGGTGTCTCTGCGAGGGGCGACGGCGGGGGCCGCTCTTTGTGATTGGAAGCTCCCTGCTGCTCGCTCCGTGTTGAATGCAGCTTTCACGTTCGGCAGAATCTGCATGCGCTGGCTGGATGCCTGGAAACTGTCCCACTGAACAGTGGCCGCTGCGATTGCCGTGATTGCCTGCGTCACGGTAGTTGATTGGGTAGAGCTCCCGCTGATTGACACGAGCCACCGTCGGTCGGCACGAGCCACCGTTGGTTGTCCTTGTCGGGCTCCGATGCTCCACGCGGCCACGGCAGCCGGGGCAGTGAATCTGTGAGCGACGTCAGGCAGCCTCTGCAGCAGCCGATGGACAGGATCGTCAAGCTGTCCCTTGACTGACAGCCATTCAAGTCTTCTGCTATTAAACGGGTTTTGGCAGAGTGATTTAGCCAAATTTTTCACGACAATAATAATAACAATACTTAGGCATGTAACGATGTATCGATTCATCAATTTAGCTATTAAAACAGATGTTTACACTCACGATACACGCGTGGCATCGTGTTGGTAGGGAATTATTATTGTTGTCTGTATGCAGTTTGTAGCCCCTGCAGGCACTAGAGGCGTTACATTAACAATGTAATTAAAATAATCGATCTTTGAAATATGACAACAACAAATGGTGACGGTCGATTTGCGAATGAGTGGATCGCTCGATGCTGAATATGAACGGGCACAGCGCTGTGTATCCAGCAAGCCCCGCTGAGACTCACAACTCCGTCAAGTCGGTCCTGCCTTGGGAATGTTCGGCAGGGAGTAGTTTGCGTGTTTGAAGGACAACAGGCTGCCTAGAGGAGCCCACGATGCGTACAAGGGGGTACCACTCGGACGTGCTGGCAGGCCACTTTATGGACAGATCTGCTGGGCTGCCATCTCCTGGCGACCTCAGCCCAGCAGCCTCGGGGGGGTTCACAGAACTACGCCGTCAGTGCATTTGTAGATAACAATAAAATGTGATCATAATAATATTCACGTTTTGATCTGTGAAAATATCTCGGCTTGTTTAGCTAAAATGTATCTTGCGATGTATCAGGGAGAGGTGACGACAACGACGACGCAGAGAGACTCCATTGGTCACGGCCGTTCTTCATGTCACATTTAAAATATCGCAAGGACGCTTCTCTCTTCTCGAGCACGATAGCAGCAGCAGCGATGATGATGATGATACGTTGTTCACAGCTGTCAACCCACACGGTTCACCCCACATTCTTGTACAGGGGAATTGAGTTTTCAGGCCCATACGGCGTACAGCCGTTTCAATACGGGCAAAAAACTATAATTTGTGTCTATTTGTTTGTGTTTCTCCCTTGTGATGGGACTTTGTAGGATGAACGTTGATGTTTATAAGGGACATGTGATGACCAATACGGTCTGAGTTGGTGCGTAGTAAGGTAGGGCACCGATAAGGGTTGACAGGTATGCGTTGTTCACTCGCTCGATGCCTGTGTCGGGTCTGCTTTTGGCCTCGACGAGAGGGTTTCTGGAGAGAGTTCGTGTCGTCGTTTCTGCCGTTGCTCCTCCATGCAAGGAGCGCAGACCACAATGGGTTTACTGCGTGACTCCATAGTTTGGGTCGCAAGGCCACAGTCGCACCACCGTGGCTTGTGACTTTACTTTTCCATTCATCGACGAGATGTGCGCGTCGGCCTGCTGATGTTCTGATGCGATCTCTGCTTACACCGGTGTCTTGGAGCCATGTCGAAGCCGGGAGGTGCGATGTTTGGATCTCGAATGAGCCGATCCGTCAACCCTCCCCCCGCCCACAGCAGGGATGACAAGCGAGGAAGGGTGCGTGGCGCGTTGTTGTATACTAACCCTTCTTCCAAAATTGAGATTAATAATATTTGATGATATTTTTATATATTATCTTTTTACTTGTTTTTTTTAATGAATGAAACACACCAAAGCGCAGCAAACTGCAAAACACCAGGTGTTGTTAAGTAATGAACTGGAGGAGGGCTAGGATGGCAGAATTTGCAACCTTGCTTCAAGGAAAGATAAGGCCTGATGAACGGGCACATGTCACCCGTGCAGGCGGCAGAGACAGTGGGAGTGTCAGCCAGACATAGTTAAGGCAAAAAGCCCAACCATCCTGCATGGTTTTAAAGTAACGTCAAAATTCGAAATTCAACAACAGAGTAGGCTAAATTATCGATCCTCGCGCTCGCTCAAATTGGAGACCAGGCTGCGAGCTACATCAATGAACCATTGCCCATTTGCTAATCCAATACTGAATGTTAATATTACTGAAGTCAAAACGAATTCTATGACCTCAGCACATGGGCAAATAATAGGGCAGTGTCGACTCAAAGGCAATGGAAGAAAGCAGAGGCGCCTTTGTCTAAATCACAACCACAGAAAGCCAGGAATCATCACTGATTGTGTGTTTAGGGATTCCGAGCTAGTTGGAACACGTGCACACAGGGGGGAGGTAGAAGTACGCCTTGTCCTCCTGCAGCTGAGGGAGCAAAGATAAAAGTGGGTCAGCTCAAGGCTGTGTGCACAGGGGAGGGAGCTGATTTAAACAACCCTGCACGTCTGAACGTGAGGGGGCCTTGGACCTGAAATTAAGAATAACACTCCCAGAGCAGAAGGTTGGATGGCCACAGTGAGACGAGAATAAGAGTGTTGTATATCTCTCAAGGATGCAGACCCAGCTGAACAACAAGGCTGCGGGGGTCACCAGAAGTTCGCGTTCGCCTAGTTAAGACAAAAAGCTCAATTATTCTGTATTGCTATTAAAGTCACGTTAAAGTCGGAATTTAACAACAGGGTAGGCTAAAGTTATTGATATTCACACCCACTCCAATTAAACCAGGCCACAAGTTACGCCTACTGAACCATCACCATCATTAAGTCAATATGAAATGTTATTTCCATACTTTAATACTTTCTATACAACTCGACCCGAAGCATATGACAATCAGAACCTTCCTAAGTCAAAATTGAATCGCACCCAGACAGGAGCGAATAGTCGATATAAGGTTGAAGAGGGAAGGAAATTAAGAGCACGGCGAACTGCGAATCGACTCCGAACACTGACTATTCAAGACAACTCTTACCACTCAAACACACTCGAACCCATAAGCCATCCGTGGCTGGGAAGGCATCACAACGAGACCGAGTGATGGCCATCCGTCGTTTCTAAGAGTATTCGTAATTTTTATCTTTAATATTTAGTGGGCTGTACTCTTAATCGCATAAATTCCCAACAGATCCATCAATACGAACTGATTCTTGGCACCTCCTTCCGCCGAGCCACGCTCACGTGGGGAGTGGTGGCCCACCGGATCCTTATCAGGTGATCTGGTCCCCAATTAGTAAACTTGGTATAAGATAACGATCTTCGGAAAAGGAGCACCGTCGCAGGCCCTTACTCCGAGCCGTTCTGTTGTCAGATAACCTGCCGATGTATCTGTTGAGATTGGTGCCTTTAAGAATAATAACTGTTTTTGATTGTGTTTTTTTATCGCCGTATAATCTTTCAAGTATCTCTCAGTCATAATCGCCGCACGTACTCGCATCCTCTACAGAATATTCAACTGTCCCGTGACCCAAGGTGCTAACAACGTGATAAGGGTTGCGTATGATCAATAAGGAGTGCGGTACTGCGTGAACAATATTGAGTATAATCATTCATTAACGTTAAGGTTTTCTTAGCATAGTATTTGCGTATTTTAACGACTCTCTCTCTCACTAACAACCATCGCGTTATGCGGGATCCATGTGCCGTTGTCAAAGTGAAATCAGACAATCGTTGATGATACTGTATTGATGCCGTGTTGACGTTCCGGGATTGAGAGTTCGCATACTATATCATAGTTAAGGTTGAATTAGTAATAAATTGATCAATACAGAAGTGGTTGTGTGATTCTTTCCTGAAATCTATGCATAAGATCTGCTTCTGCGTTGAGATCTGAACTTGGTGACCTTAATAAACACACTAATACATACTCAGTAAATGTTAAAGCGATAACGGGGTGAACCGGGGACCTAAATATAACCACGAATACACACTCTGGGAATGTTAAAGCGAGAATGAGACGAACCTAGACAACGATGCCGAGTTAATCTAAGTTAATCTTGCATACTTACACCACACCTGCATAACTGCATACGATTAATTGCCTTATTCCGATCGATAACCCACCCTCGTCACCGAGGCGGGGTCTGGTTATCATAACGACTTGCATTATCATAATTACACCCACTCGCATAATTAATACGATTACCTCTCGAATTGGCATAATTAAAATGTGCATAATTACATAAATTAACATATTTCCGGATAATTACACATTTGGCCAAATTTCATTTAATTATTATTATTTTCACTGAATACTCATAACCCACATATACAACATAATAATTTCACCCACGCACGCATACAACATAACAAATTTTGATAACCAACATATACAACAGCGTTCATGGTGTGGGTGGACTCCGTGTCACCGCCCAGGCACTCCTCGCCACGCACTCTCAGACACGGCCCACGCAGCCTTGGCCCTTACCCAGGAAAATCAATGGGCTTAAGGAAACCACTTTCACCAATCATTCCTAAAAATGTAACGACCTCATTGAGGGCCAAAGGTGTCGCAGGTTATATGTATTTTTATTTTAAGAGAGTGTGATTGACAAGAGTGTTGCGTTTTTTGTTAATTGTACCTCCCCTCGAGGTGCATTATAATTAGAAATAATTGCATTAATATCGTTTTGTAAGTTTTAAAAATGCTTACGACAGCTCTGATACGAGCCGTGTTCGATCGCCACCCACGAACGCGTCCCGTCCAGACATCAGCCCGGGCTATTGACACGGTGCGGCGTTGCCTCCATCTGCGTGTCCAGATGGGCGAGGAGTTGAGCGAGGAGCTAAGTGAGGAGCTGAGTAAAGAGCTGAGCGAGGAGCTGAGCGAGGAGCAGCAGCAGCAGCAGGAGGAGGAGGAGAAGGATGGGGGAGGCTGTGCAGGGGTGGCAGGGCCCGGGCGCAGCGCGGAGGAGCCGGCGGCAGCGCTCCCGGCGGCCGTGAGAGCCCAGATCGAGCGCAACCGCCAGCGAGCACTGCTCCTGCGGCAAGCACGCGCCGCCAGCCAGCCCTACCCCTCGGCCAGCGCTCGCTCACAGTACGTGTCACTCATACGGCACGTGTCACTCACACGGCACGTGTCACTCACACGGCACGTGTCACTCACATGTATCACTCACACGTGTCACTCGTCACGTGTCACTCGCCACGTGTCACACGTCACGTGTCACTCGTCACGTGTCACACGGCACGTGTCACTCACACGTCACGTGTCACACGTCACGTACCGCTCAGCCTGTCTTGCACGGTAGATCTTACAATTCAACAAACAAAAAGGTTCCCCCATATAGCTTTGAACAGACTTTTGGGACAAATGCTGTGAGCGAGGGGGTGGGTGGCCAACACCACGCCCGGCCACCTTTGTCTCCCCAGTGCTGATGTTTACACATCGCATCAGCTACTCATTTGAGGCTGAGTCGACCTAGGAGAGGCCCAGGACTAGTTGAGATATTTGCCGTCGCCGTTATTGGTTGCGAAGTGGGAATCGAACTTGGCTCGGTGGGTTCGTGGCACAGCGCGATGACTGCGCGTGTTTGTGGCTCGCGCTCACGCGCGGCGTGTGAACGTGGCACACGCGTGTCCCTGCAGGGTGGGCGCTGCGAGGCTGCGGGTGCCCGGCCGTGCGGTCGACACCGGCGGCGGTTTCCTGCTGGAGGAGGCGGACGATGAGGAGGCGGCGGCGGCGGCTCACCGGGTGGTGCACACGCCAGGTAGCGCGCACGGACACACGCACGCACGCGCATACGCACAAAGACAAAGATCCCCCGTATAGCCATAACAGACTGTTGGGACAAGTGCTGTAATAGCGAGCACCTATGAAAGCCGGCACGGCACACAAGGAGGTGGGTGGCCAACACCACGCCCGGCCGCCAGGGGAGGCCCAGGACCGGTTCAGATAATCGTTGCTGGTGTGGCCGTGAGCGGGAATCGAACCCGGTGGCCAGGTTCATAGGGTAGCGCGCTAACCGCTACACCACATACACACACTCAAAGCGCATGCACACACACACACACTCACGCACGCACACACACACTCACGCACGCACACACACACTCACGCACACACACACTCACGCACGCACACACTCACGCACGCACACACGCACGCACGCACACACGCACACACACATGCCCGCACGCGTTTGCGTTCTCCCAATCGTCCCTCCAACGGTCTCCCACGGTGCCCGGCGTGCAGCTGCGTCTCTCTGCGGTGTTGCCAGGGTTGCTCTGTTTTCCCACTCGGGGCACGGAGTGAGCGCGTGAGCGTAGCTGGCCAACGCCTCCCGTACGCTGAAGCGTCATCAGGGTGGGGGGCAACTGTCGAACGGTCTCGGGGCCGTCTGCGTGCGAGCGAGAGTGGGCTCGCGTAGTTCACGCTCGCTCCAGCTTCTTGGTGGTGGCGACGCGGGTCGAGGATATTAGCGTGCGTCGTCGCAGGCGCGGCGCGGGAGATTTCGCGGCCCTGTGGAGACGACGTTTGTCACGTGGCGATGCAACAGGCAAATATTCCTCAGCTGAATTCAGAAAAATTAAGTAAAAAAGCACGTTTATTTATTACGAGAGGGTTTTGGTGCAGTCGTCGGTGACTCACGACTACTCTTACAGAGCCTCGTTTCATTTGTTACATTAGTTTACACCGCAGAGCCTCAACGGAGCCTGCACACTCTTTTGTGGGAGGCTCCTGGCAAGTTTGCTCGGGAGGGGAGAGAAGCGTCGGCCGCGAGTGAACGGTGCCGCGGGGTGGTTTTGCGCCGCAGCGCCCGTGATGCAGGCGGACTACCTGCAGTGCGGGGAGTGCGAGCGACGCTTCATGGACTCCTACCTGAGCGCCACATTTGACTTGGCCGTGTGCGACGCGTGCAGGTGAGCAAACCCCCCCCATGGCCCTCCATGATTGCTGAGCGAGGCGCCGCACGCACGCACGCACGCACACACATACATGCACTCCACGCGCACACATACACACGCATACACGCACGCATGCACACGCACGCACACTGGAAGCCGCACGTCAGTGTGGTGCGTGCGGTGGTTGGTGGTGGTGGCGCTTGTGCATCGTCCTGTGCCGTGGAGGCCCTGTCAGCTCGTGTCTCGTCATTATTATTTTATTATTAGTACTACGACTATATGGCCCATCCAGTAAAGTCTCATTGATTGTTGTAGGCTGCAGGGGCCTGCATTGGGATGTTTAACCTCCTCCTCTGTTTTTGGTTTGCCATGTAGTAGTTGTAGTAGTATCTGCAGAATATATATCTGTTATTGGTTTGCTCATGTAGTAGTAGTTGTAGTAGTATCTGCAGAATATATATATGTGTGCGTGACAGATAAAGCTCCAAGGTCTGTACAGACAGGTTGACCATCCGTGATGACCATCCGTGTGTGATCCGCCAACCCCAGCTGTGGGTTCTGGGTTGCAGGCGTGCGCTTCCACACAGGCCCTGATGTCGGAATCTCTCTTTCTGGCTGAATACCCAGACACACCCAGTAACCGCTACGCTCATTGAGTGTCTTACGTTTACGTATTTTGCTTTCAGCAGCTGGGAGTGTTTGATGAGGCATGCAGTAGACATGTAGCAATTCATCCGTCTAAAAGTTATGCATTGAATTGTACGCGTGAGATATATTGAAATGTATTCAAACGTTACCTTTCGGCAAATGGAATAAATATCCATGGAGGGAATTTGAATTTAAATCGCGTTTAAGCGCCACCGCATCGCAAGATGCTTTACGGACGAGGGGAACTGCGTCGACACGGAACAGATCAGCACGAGCGGGGGGAGAGCCGCCACGAAGGGAACCGAGAATCGTCGATTCTTGAACTTCTTTTCTTGGCACCGCACGTAGCCCACCGCCCTCACTGAATCGTGACCACGAATCGCGGCAGTTGACACGGCGCGGTGGGTGGGGGTCAATGGTTACGGGCGCAACGGTCATGGAGGTGGTGCCCACACACACGGTGCGCTGCTGCTGCTGCTGCTGTTGCTGTGCTGCTGCTGTTGTGCTGCTGCTGCTGTGCTGCTGCTGCTGTTGTGCCGCTGCTGCTGTGCTGCTGCTGCTGCTGCTGGCTGCTGCTGTGCTGCTGCTGCTGTTGTGCCGCTGCTGCGCGCGTTGCCTCCGCTATCGCAGGGACAACGAGGGCAAGCACCAGCTGGTGTCGCGCACGGAGGCCAAGACGGAGTTCCTGCTCAAAGACTGCGACCTGGACGGGCGGGAGCCGGCGCTGCGCTTCGTCCTGCGCAAGAACCCGCACAACCCGCGCTGGGGAGACATGAAGCTCTACCTGCGCCTGCAGGTGAGTGAGTGAGCGAGCGGTGAATGGTGAGTGAGTGAGCGAGTGAGCGAGTGGTGAGTGAGTGAATGAGAGAGTGGCCGGTGCGTGAGCGTGGATGTGGGAGCTCATGAGGTTCTTCTATCTCAGCACCAAGTCACGACACCAAGAGGTTTCCATTACAAAGTGCTGCAGTGAGCAGAGCACCACCTCGTGCCAAAACACGGCCCCAGGATGTGACATGACAGAAGGACTTCCCAAGTCCCTCCAATCGCATCCTGGTTGCAAACCCTGCAAAGAGTGTTCGTTGCATGTCAAAATCATGCCAAACACATCTGACACCTGGAATGAGCCACATTTAGTACAACAAAAAAATAAGAAATTAAATTAGAGATCTTTTTTTGTTCATGCTGCACACTCTGTGTAGTTAGTGGCAGTTTGAGTTGACACATGGAGCCAGGGTACAGCGCTTCACCTGGGGCAGAGAACTTCACCTGGGGTAGAGAACTTCACCTGGGGCAGAGAACTTCACCTGGGGTACAGAACTTCACCTGGGGTAAAGAACTTCACCTGGGGCAGAGAACTTCACCTGGGGCAGAGAACTTCACCTGGGGCAGAGAACTTCACCTGGGGTAGAGAACTTCACCTGGGGCAGAGAACTTCACCTGGGGTAGAGAACTTCACCTGGGGCAGAGAACTTCACCTGGGGTACAGAACTTCACCTGGGGTAAAGAACTTCACCTGGGGCAGAGAACTTCACCTGGGGCAGAGAACTTCACCTGGGGCAGAGAACTTCACCTGGGGTAGAGAACTTCACCTGGGGCATAGAACTTCACCTGGGGCAGAGAACTTCACCTGGGGCGTGCGTTTGTGCGGGGTTGGGGGGGACGCCCCGGGGGGTTATTTGAGGGCGTTCTCTGTGTGAACACTGGGAAGCGATGTTGTTAAATCCACACGAACTTATCAGCCCGTTCAAATACGCATTAGATTCAAACACAGATAGCAGAAGGAATTTCACGAACACACAGCCGCCTCTGCTCCATGAAATGTCACTGTACATGTGAAATAAGTAGAGGGCGAATGTTTGTTTCCTGCGCCCAGGCTTAGCCTAGCTGTGACTCCCACACTGCCAGCCGTGAGCCACCGGGTTCGCTCCACCCACGCCACCTCCCGATGTCCGAGTGTCCGAGCCTGCCGCGTGGCTTCCTCCGAGGCCGACGCGATTTGAACGAGCGCGAGACGCTGCGCTCGCAGCGCTGCTGGCGTTGTTGAGGCAGCTGCTAGTCCCTCCACAACCACGTGGTGTGGCGTGGTGTGACGTGGTGTGGTGTGGCGTGGTGTGGTGTGGCGTGACGTGGTGTGGTGTGGCGTGGTGTAGCGTGGTGTGGTGTGGTGTGGCGTGGCGCCTACTGGGGGACGCGCCCCAAAGCACAAAACTACTCGCGGGTTATTCAGGACCGATGTTTGGGTTCGGGTCACGGAATGTTTGGGCCAAAATGTGTATCGTATGACCCTCTACCACCCAGCATAGCCAAACAAAATAAAGTGTCGCGTGTGGAAGCGTTTAATGTGCCCTAACGTAACAAATTAATTTGTTTGGCTAATAGTGGAGGGCTTTAAAACAGAGTTTGTCAGATTATTACGTGGTCCTACCCAAAAAAAACATAGGCAGCCAAAGCCATCTACGTGGTGCTAACGCTTTGTGGCGTCGTGATTCTACCCCGTTCCGGATGCCCAACGCACACTTGAGGTCTTCGTTACATGAATCAATCGGCACTTCAAGTTGCCCTCAAGAGGTCCCTGGCTGGCTAATGAGCGGGCGGTGGGTGGTGCTGCAGGTGGAGCGGCGCGCCCTGGACGTGTGGGGCGGCGAGGAGGCCCTGCAGGAGGCCCGCGAGCAGCGGCACCGCGGCCGCGACCGGCGGCAGCAGAAGCGCTTCAACAACAAGGTCAAGGGTGAGCGAGCGCTGCCGTGGGCCGGCGTCGTCGTTGTCGTCGCTACCGGGAGCAGATGATGTTAATGGGAGACGGAGTACTCTCTGCAGGGAGGGGACTTTGAGCTTCGCAGGTGATGGAAGCACAGCTGTTTGTGCGACACGCATTTCATTATTTAACATTTATATGACAACCCGTCTCAACGTCCGACACATTGCCTATTCACAGCGGTGGTTTGTTCTATTATGCAGACGCGCGAGTCCCCGTGAGTTGGACGGGAGAGGCAGCACAGAGACAATCGGTTGACTGACACTTGGCCAACGGCTGGGCAGTCCTCTGCGATGCCTTGCGAGCGTTACCGTCATCCCGCTGCCGGGTGCAGTGCGCGCCGGGTTGAGGGCGAACGCCGCAACGTCGTGCGCAGTTTCTGAACTTTGTTTTCTGCGCTCAAATCGGCGCCGCCTTTGAGCCCCCACTGCCCACGGCGGGCACGGGGGGCAGGGTGGGCGCGGTGGGCAGGGTGGGCAGGGTGGGCACTGTGGGCAGGGTGGGCACGGTGGGCAGGGTGGGCACGGTGGGCAGGGTGGGCACTGTGGGCAGGGTGGGCAGGGTGGGCACGGTGGGCAGGGTGGGCAGGGTGGGCGCTGTGGGTAGGCTGGGCGCGGTGGGCAGGGTGGGCAGGGTGGGCAGGGTGGGCGCTGTGGGTAGGCTGGGCGCGGTGGGCAGGGTGGGCACGGTGGGCAGGGTGGGCACTGTGGGCAGGGTGGGCACGGTGGGCAGGGTGGGCACGGTGGGCAGGGTGGGCACTGTGGGCAGGGTGGGCAGGGTGGGCACGGTGGGCAGGGTGGGCAGGGTGGGCGCTGTGGGTAGGCTGGGCGCGGTGGGCAGGGTGGGCGCGGTGGGCAGGGTGGGCAGGGTGGGCACGGTGGGCAGGGTGGGCAGGGTGGGCACTGTGGGCAGGGTGGGCACGGTGGGCAGGGTGGGCACTGTGGGCAGGGTGGGCAGGGTGGGCAGGGTGGGCGCTGTGGGCAGGGTGGGCGCTGTGGGCAGGGTGGGCGCGGTGGGCAGGGTGGGCACGGTGGGCAGGGTGGGCACTGTGGGCAGGGTGGGCACGGTGGGCACGGGGGGCAGGGTGGGCACTGTGGGCAGGGTGGGCACGGTGGGCAGGGTGGGCACGGTGGGCAGGGTGGGCAGGGTGGGCACTGTGGGCAGGGTGGGCACTGTGGGCAGGGTGGGCACGGTGGGCAGGGTGGGCACGGTGGGCAGGGCGGGCACGGGGGGCAGGGCGGGCAGGGTGGGCAGGGCGGGCAGGGTGGGCACGGTGGGCAGGGTGGGCACGGTGGGCAGGGTGGGCAGGGCGGGCACGGGGGGCAGGGCGGGCAGGGCGGGCAGGGTGGGCACGGGGGGCAGGGTGGGCACTGTGGGCAGGGTGGGCACGGGGGGCAGGGTGGGCAGGGTGGGCAGGGTGGGCACGGTGGGCAGGGTGGGCACGGTGGGCAGGGTGGGCACGGTGGGCAGGGTGGGCAGGGCGGGCATGGGGGGCAGGGCGGGCAGGGTGGGCAGGGCGGGCAGGGTGGGCAGGGCGGGCATGGGGGGCAGGGCGGGCAGGGTGGGCACGGTGGGCAGGGTGGGCAGGGCGGGCATGGGGGGCAGGGCGGGCAGGGCGGGCAGGGCGGGCACGGCGGGCAGGGCGGGCACGGCGGGCAGGGCGGGCACGGTGGGCAGGGTGGGCAGGGTGGGCACGGGGGGCAGGGTGGGCAGGGTGGGCAGGGTGGGCAGGGTGGGCAGGGTGGGCAGGGTGGGCACGGGGGGCAGGGTGGGCAGGGTGGGCACGGTGGGCACGGTGGGCAGGGTGGGCAGGGTGGGCACGGTGGGCAGGGTGGGCACGGTGGGCAGGGTGGGCAGGGCGGGCACGGGGGGCAGGGCGGGCACTGTGGGCAGGGCGGGCACGGTGGGCAGGGCGGGCAGGGTGGGCAGGGCGGGCACGGGGGGCAGGGTGGGCAGGGTGGGCAGGGTGGGCACGGTGGGCGCGGTGGGAGCGGTGGGAGCGGTGGGAGCGGTGGGAGCGGTGGGAGCGGTGGGCACGGTGGACACGAGCTCGTCAATGTGGCTCCCACCGCCCACGTTCACTCGCTTTACGTGTCACAGGTATCGTCGGGTCGTGGTGACTGCACACCTGCAGTGGGCGAAGGCCACGTACGTGCAGGTTCTACGTCATACTCTCACTCGTCAACTTGAATGAAGGAAATTTATACCGGCTCGTGAATTTATGCGCCGATAGTAATTTTCAGGATGAAACGAAGTGGACGAATCAAAGCGCTGTTTGTGCCGATGCCTCGTCGTGCAAAACGACCCGTCGTGTTCCATCGCGGGATTCGTGTTTGTGCACGACCCGCACCCCGCTGCCTCGACCTGCGTGACCCGCGTCGAGGCGGCGACCAGCTCGTGAAGCTCACACCCTGCTCGCTAATCTCCCGCCGCCGACGTCTCTCGGTCTAGAGCTGCGCATGGCGGTGAGGAGCAGCCTATACCGCAAGGCCAGCGCGGGCCACGTGCACGAGTACGGCCCCGAGCAGCGCGACGAAGCGGACGAGGACGCGTACCACAGGACTTGCGTGCAGTGCGGCCACCGCCTCGCCTACGAGAAGATGTGAGAGCGGCGCCGCGCCGGTGCTCGTGGACCGGGGGAGCGGTCCGGGGTTGTCGCCGGCGTGGCCCCGGAGCCGAGTCGCATCAGGGACCGAGACCCGAGGGAAGCGGTGGAGGAGCTACCGGGGAGAGGACACGAGGAGTGGTATTTTTCCAGTCCAATAATAAAGTGAAGCAAAAGGTGCTTGGCTCTGTGGAGCTGGGAGCTCGTGCGGAGCAAGGGATGTTTTATAGACGAGTCGAGCGGTTTGCCACGCAAGGGTGAGCTATAAGGAAACTAAACTGCTAGCTTTTTCCAATGAACAGCCTTTTAATGCCAAACACTACCTACCCGAGGATGCACAGAGTGTGTATTTTGATGCAAGTTGTGATTGTGGTCTGATAAACACCGCCCCAGTGGAGTGGTTTTTACCGGAGGCCCTCTCGATGGCAGTGCGCCCCACGCTGCCCCGCGTTGGTCCGTCGCGAGCGCCCGGCGGCGTCTCCACGTGCGCACGCGTGGGTCTCCATGGGCGCCTCGCGGGAGCCACGTAACTAACAACACGGCGGCACGCGGCACGCGCCAGACAGCGCCCAGAGGGGCCGCCAGGCAACTTGGCCCACAGCGAGGGCGAGGCAAACAAACCCCTCGCACATTCACCCACTCGCTCGCTCACCCATTCACCCACCACTCGCACATTCACCCACTCGCTCACCCACCACTCGCTCACCCACCACTCGCTCACCCACTCGCTCACCCACTCGCTCACCATTCACCCGCACATTCACTCGCTCACCCACTCGCTCACCCACCACTCACACATTCACCCACTCGCTCACCCACCATTCACACATTCACCCACTCGCTCACCCACCATTCACTCGTACACTTGGGAGACATTGTTGTTGACCCCGCCGTGTGAATGGGCCGTGCTCGTGAATGAATGCTGCCTGGTTCCGTTTGGCTGCTCGCCCTGTGGGATAGCCAAGCCGAGTGTTGATGAAGAATAGGGTGTAAGCAGACGGTGTGTGCAGAATGCCCTGAACCTGGAGGTCGAAGATTGTCCAAATACGCGCGTACAAGAAACACTCCCTCACAAGGGAGTGGGGACCAACATCCCACTCGGTGTACGGCCCTCCGGGAGAGGAAAAACGAGTTGATCTCAGAGAATAGAAAATAATCTGTCCCCCGTCCTTTGGCGAGATCCTCGTGGGCTGGAGACGCCGCGCCAACCTCGCCCGGCGAGCCGCTCTGCACCGCCCGCCACCGGGCCGAGACGCCGTCTCTCGGGTGGCGCACAGCGCCCGTCACGCTGCGGCTGCACGTGCCGGACGTCCACGCCCGTCAACACGTCCGGGACTTCGACTCAACGGGCCCTCAACGTCGGCTGGGATGGACGCGACGCCGGGACTCGCGTGGTGGGAGAATCAGCCGCACGAGGCGGTCGCGAGGCGGTGATCGACGATTATGTAATCGTGGATAGGAACTGGTTTGAAAATGGACATCGTGTTTACATATCTATGATGAATTCAGGCAGAGCAGAGTCACGACTCCTTATCTGATAAAATAAAAAAATTTAGTTTTACAGTTTAGATCATGGGTGGTTTACTCAGCAGTCGACAGACTGATAGGAATGCGCAAGACCGGCAGTCGTCGTGGTTGTGTGGCGTGCCCTTGGTTGTAACAGGTCTGTTCGGAGCGGGTGTCCGCGTGTGAAAGCGGCGAATGCGTTGCTAAGCTGCGGCCCCCCAAGGAGGAGTGGATTCGTGCGGAGGCCATCGGAGCGCTGCTGGCGGAGGCCCTCGGCACTCGCGAGCCGAGGACGCCGCTGCGGCAGAGCACGCAGAGCAGAGCACGCAGAGCAGAGCACGCGAGTCCACGTAACTTGTGTGCTCGCTGCTGCACGCGGACACGACGACACAAGCGCATGCCCCGTGCTGTATCACACCACACGACACTGGACTGCCATTAGATAACAAGGTTTTGCTGGCTGACTGGAGGGGAGGGACGGCCATGTCCATCGCCTTTCTGTAAATATCAAGATAGAACTGGCCTTGCTGCTGTACCTACATCACCAAACCACACGTGGTGGCCTCAACCATCTCACTGAAGGCCACTTGGGGGCCTTGCAACCTCCACTTCATACAAACTCGCCACCGATATCTCGCCTACACCACGTGTGGATGTTGTCGGCCAAGAGGGCGTTTAATCGGCTTACTTGATGTTTGTGTCAGATCACGAAAGTCAAATGTGTAGTAAACCCTCCACCTCACAACCAATTAATAACGCTATCACGTGCACAAACATGGCAGGTTATTACTGCTTCAGCAGCACCACCGGTGGTGGTCGGAGAGCAACCTACACCACGCTAACCCATTGGGGCTACAGATGTCTCGCTGGTACGGAGCCAGCATCATCAGGCAGTGGTCACAAATATGAAAATGCCCCCTCGTCTTGCGCCTTGAATGTTGCAGTGTTGTTATAGGTGTCGTGCTAAATGTTAATCTGAGATACTGGTGGACATGGTCATGATTAAATCACTGAGATGAAGAAGGGACTGTGTGACTTGTATGGTTTTATTTATCTGTACATTCTGCAAATCATTCCATTCTGAGTGTATCCTGCTGCGGAGATCTATTAACTTTGGGGTGTGAGGGTGGTCTTATCATTGATACAAATAACATCCAGCCGAGACAACATGAGCAACTGATATTGTTATTGAATTAGTAAGACCGAGCGAAACAATCCAGACCAACCATAAACAAGTGGCAATGATGTCTGCAGTGATGGTGCGAATTGAGAGCTGACATGTTGAGCAGCAGAAGAGGCATTGAGAGATCAGACCAAGCACCGTCATTGCAACACTGAAATGGAGAAGGCGGATCAGAAGAAAATTTCAGAGGTTTTATTGCCAAAAAACGAGACAATGAAATCAGGCAATGCTGCTTACAAAACGTGCAGCAGAGCCCAAGGCGACGACACAAACTCGGTCCAAGCGACATTGCCTCTCCCGACTGTTGGGGGGACACGCATTCATCAATGAAATCATGAAAAACAACTTAGAACGGTCTTTTCACTTTGACATTCAATTAATGTAATTCCTCGTGATAATACACCATGTCGCCCACAGCATAAAAACCCAGATGAATTAATAAAATAATCTGCAAACTCGTCACCCTGCTAGTGACATCTGCCTCTGTGGCAAGATCCCAGACCGTCCCGGTTAGGTCTACGGGGGGCTCACATCCACGTCCATGCCAACAGAACAGGACGAACAACATCCACAAAGGGACAATGAGCTAACCGGGTGGTGGTGGCGACTACACTGAGAGCATCGCAACAAAAAGGGCCTCCTAATGTTTTCTAAACCTCGAATCTAACGTCAAGCAACTCGTTGCATGTTTAGCGCCGGTGAACACGCGGAGATGCCGCTGCGACGGTTTGGGTGTAAAAGCGCGGCGCGGCTTCCTCGCCGAGCGGCGGTGGCGAGGCCGGCGCGAGGATTCTCTCGTCGGTGTTCCCCACGTTCCCCGTGTTCCCCGTGTTCCCGCGGGGGGCGGCGGCGACGGCGACGGAGGGACGGCCGTCACGCCGTGAGGGCGCAGAACTGCTGGAAGATGGCCAGGATGTGCGGATCCAGCTCGCTCGTGAACAGCAGGTTCTCCAGGGTCCCCATGTACAGCTGGATCGTGTGCTGGTGCTGCGGAGAGGTGGGCACGGACAAGAGCCCTCGTGAACAAGACCCGCTGGGCTGGGCCACCACTTGCAGGAGCGCTCTAACAACGCGTGAACGCTGGGAGAGCAATTGCCGTCGCTCGGCAGCGGCGACCGACAGCAATTGCGCTGCGACGCGCACGTTACGACCGTGCGCGTCACAGCCGTGTACACGTTCAAGTCGTGCGCGCTGAGCCAGCAGTGCCGAGATCCCAGGTTTAAATCCGGGTCAGCCGCCCGGCCGAACCTGGGTCCTTATGCGCAGGATCTGATGGTCTCACGTTAGTGACCGATGACTGCACAAGGCTGTAAACCACTGCTCATTGTACTAAACTTGACCTCAACCAGAATAGCAGAGTGAACCGCTCGACTTGTCCACACAGCTCGACTTGTCCACACAGCTGAAGAGGCGGCAATCCTGAGGGTAGTGACATTGGCCCGAGAAGGACCTCCAAGCAAACCCCATGATTCTGGGTCGCCGTGCGACGCGACGAGCTGCTGCCAAACGAGGATCCAAAATAAAAACGCGTCACTTTGCCTGGACACCGACAGTGCGATTCGTGGGAGAGCCTCACTGAGCATCGAGACTCTCTTTTGGAGGGTCCGAGTTGAGTAAAGTAATCCCAAATCAGTCACTTCTAGGTGAGGTTTCTGCATTGCGATCTTTGGACAACATCTGTTACATTGTGTTTAACACCGAGGCTTTCGCGACCAATATCATCCATAAGAGGGGTTTTTGGGGTTAGATCGTGTAAATATTTACACGATCCAACCCAAAAACACCTCTCGTGCCTGTCACACTGCGTGTCATTTGTTTGACTGTGGGAGGAAACTGTAGGGAACATACGAACTCCACGCAGAAAAGGCATCCGAATCGGCAACGGGACCCAGGTGATTCTTGCCTCGAGGCGCGAGCGTCGCCATCGCTCCACAAACCTGGAGGAAGATCTGCTGGAGGCGCTCGATGCAGTTCTTGTACCAGGGCGTCCTGCGCTCCGTGCCGCTGGTCTCGCAGCGCACCAGGTGCTCCGTGAGGATCATGATGAACCGCTGGGGGCAGAAAAACAGCGGCGGTGGCGGCGTCAACGGCGCACGCGCAGACGCTGGCACGGAGTCGCCCCGCGGGACACTCCGCACATTATCCCCCAACCAGCGACGAAGACCGGGAGAGACCAACGCCGTCTCGTCTGTATTGTCCATTTTTAACATTCTTTACCCAGGCCAATGTTGCAAACTATACTATCCACGTCTCGAGTTCTCAAATTTGTATTTGTATATATTTACATAAAATTTGTAGACACTTTCACTCATCCTTGATTAAATGTTGAAGAGTGTAAGCATATGAAATGATTTTCATCGATGAATCTCGCTGACGTGGTCCGGAGACGATATTTGTCCACAGTCGAGTGGCAGCACATTGCGCTGATTCAAGGAAGCAGCAGCAGCAGCTCGCGATGCTGCCAACAGCAGCCTCGTGTCGGCTCAAGGGTCGCAGGAATACGCGCTGCAAGGCAATGTTCACCATTCAGTCGGAGCTCTCAGCTCCAGACATAATAATAAAGACTGGAAATTGCAGTCTCTGAATTGGAGCACTATGGCCGTGCAGTTTCAGCGTACGGGTCGCCGCACTGCCACTCACACAAGTTATCATCTTATACTTTACACCCTCTAACACTTTGCAGGAGAACTCGTGTCACTGCACCTTCATCCCTCAGCCCGTGAACTCGCTGGATCAATGGCGATTCCTGGGACTGACTGCTAATGTCAAAACCAGAGACCTCTGCTTTGGGTCAGTGCTGAGGTGTTGGTTATTTAATGACAAACCCCAACACGAATATCGTAGTTTAACACTTAGGCTTTCGCAACCAATATCCATAATACAGTTGTTTTGGGTTAGATGGCGTAAATACATAAATGTGTCATTAAACCCGCCATCACCCGACACGGCCAATTAGTAAGGGTTGTCGCGTAAACAGAACGTGCCAATTCGAATATTGCAACGTTCTTACCTGCCCCTACTAAATGTCTGTGAAAAAGTGTTCTATAACTCATCAGATTCCTCCAGTATGTTCTGATTCTGAATATAAAATGTGATGCTTTATGTGAGAAAAATTAGCCAATGACGAACCTCGACTGGATCTCTGCAATGCAGCTGTTGAGAATGAATCACGTGGTCAAGTATCCCCCGGTGAATTTAACAACACATTGAGGTGTGCAGCTTTGCATGAACAAAATTTACTCGGCCCAATGCAGAACCGTCGACTCAAAGAGTTGAGAACACGCGGCCACCCCAACAACCGGCAGCAGTGAAACAAAACACAAGCCAAGACCGGTTTCACCCTCATTGGGCCTCATCGGTGTAATTGTTCATCAATGTTCGCCGCTGCCATACGGCTCTGGGAGCCCCCATATATTGAGGACCGACACTTCCACTCCGTGTCCCAGAAGCCTCTGTGGTAGGCACCGCCACAAACCCCGAGATCCCAGCTCTTGATAAGAAGCTTGCTCGAAAGGTATCAATGTTGATCAAACAAAATGTAAACTGGACTCGCACTCGGAGGTGCCGGAGAGGCAAAGCGTAAACTGGCACGGCAGAGACCTTCACAGATGCCCTCTCTAAGGGATATGCACTGGAACAGCTGTTCACGAGGATGGCGAGAGAGCAAAGAGCCGTGACGTTCCAACTGAGAACGATAAATGTGCGAATTGAGAGCTGGCAGCAGGGAATTAGCTTCTCCAAATCAGGCATCACACACTGTGGCACGCACAGGGAACGTGCACCGCACTGGGACTGCAGGCAGCCGTGAGCTTCGCCGTCCAGCAAGTGCCCGGGGGATAAGAGTACAGTGCGTGAGTTTTCCACCCAGGGAGCAGGCACGGGGTAATTCGAGCCACAAGTGAGCCACAAGTGAGCCACAAGTGAGCCAGCGCAGGAGAATCTGGTGATTAACAGGCAAACACTGATTTGCGTGAGCACCCGCGGACAGATTACAGTCAAACCCGGAGAAACGAGTCGGGTAAATGGCATTAGAACTCTGAACCAGAAACTCGACGCGAATTCCGGCTCAAATTCATCCACGATGAGTCATCGGTGCTTCAATCTTCCGTTTAAAGCCCTGCAAGAGCCCAGTGGTGGAAATTCCACGTTCCTATGGTGGTCAGTGGGGGTCAGTGAAGTAGGGGCAGGAGTGGGCAGGGCCGGTTCCAGGTGTGACTGGCCTTGCAGCGCTCCAGGGTCGCATGCTCTCTGCCGCACTCTTTAGCAGACCTCTGGGGTGTGTTACGCAAGAGGCACTACAGGATGACAGGCAGGAATCTGCAGGGCAGAGTCTAAGTGGCCCGTGTTTTACAGGCGACACTGATATTTTACCATGAATAGGATTCGCTACAACAGCATCAAAGGTTAAATATGCCGCGGAAAGGGATGGACGAGAGATCAATAGCAAGAAGACACGGGTCAAGTTAACAGAAAGGGTAGCAAAGAATGCAATCATTGCAGACGGAAAGCCACCAAGAGCCAGCTCAGGTATCTTGGCCGCGTCGAGGCTGAAGATGTTTGGGGAACTGGAGCACAACTGGGCATGTCGAGAAATCTCAAGAACACCACAGGAGACACCTCCCAGCAGCTCCTGGGTGTATTCAGTAGCGATGTATTAGCGTGACGCTTGGACTCTCAAGAATAAGAAAGGAAACACTGCCGCTCACAGGAAATCCTTGTGCAGCAAGGAACCATTAGGTCCTGGAAATAAGAGACACAAACAGCCGAGGCTGCCAAGCCACGTCAGTGCAGGAAGCTGCAATATTTTCGACTGGGATAAATGGCAACCCCGGCTGCGACG